GTGACATAAGGGATTCACGTGTGTATCCAGGAGGGAGTGGAAGGGATAGAGGGGATGGTGGGAGGGTTAATGTGGGCTGGGTTGGGGTCGGGGTCGGGGGGGATGGGCTGTGTTGGGAGGGGGTAGGAGGATAGGGTGTAGGGGGGATATCGTTAGGAGGAGGATGGGTATCAGCAGTTACTTGGAGTGTGGAAGGAGCAGGGGTTGTAGGTTGAGTGTCAGTTTGCATTGAGTAATCTTGAATATTTTCAATAGTTTCTTCTGAGGAGTTGGTTGGGGAGTTGTGGGGGATAAAGGATTTCTTGTGAGGGGGGGAAGAGAGGACTGGTGTTTCAAGAGTAGGGGCAAAGGATGGTGGAGGTGATTGTGTGGTAGGGGAAGAGGGGGTGGAACGTTTGTTCTGTCTGTTACGGGGAGTGCGAGGAGGGAGAGGGGAAGGTGTTGGGGTTGTAGTGGTGATTGGAGTATCTGTATTAGAGATTGGAGTTTCTGGATTTAGGATGGCAAAAGAGTTAGACTGGGGAAGGTAGGAGGTAGAAGTGGGGGGTTAGATGTAGGAGGGGTGGGTTTAGGAGAAGTGTTAGAATGAGCAGTATTACTGGAGTAAGGAGTAAGAGAGAATCCACGTCGACGTGCTTCCTGTCTGGCTTCACGCAGTGTGAGTCCAAGTTTGAATTTGAGAGTTGCTACCTCAGATTCAAATTTGTAGGTGGGACAGCCCCTATAAAATACATTATGGGGGCCGCCACAGTTGGCACATGTGCGTGATTGTGCAGAGCAGTTAGATCGTGTATGGCCAGGTTGGGCACATAATGGGCATCTGGCTGTGGAACGGCAGTGTTTGGCTGGGTGTCCTAGACGCCAACAATTTTGGCACTGACGTGGAGGAGGTTGGTATGGACGAACAGGGAGGGATTCTCCTCCTATGTAGACGTTAAAGGGAAGGTCATGTCTACGGAAGGTAATTTTGGCTATGTTAGTGGGTTTCTTTCGATGACCTCTGGGGGGGATGGAATAGCATTGTACTGATGTTGCATCGTAGTCTGTGAGACAGGCAAGTAGATCTTCTCCACAATCTGACCAATCTTTGTCATAGATTGGGCAATTTGCTGGTGAGATTGAGACTGTTCCGGTGCAAGTATTGAGGGTTGGATGGGGTTCTGCTAGGATGGGGTTACCATATTGGTCAGTAAGTTTTGTTAATGCTATGGCTTGGTTTTCGGATGTTACTGTTACAAGACGGGAGCGGTCGGGTCGGCTACGGAAAGAGACTTTACCTACTTGTTTTTGGAGGCATTGTTGGAAGAGAAGGGTGTTGTCAGAGTAGGGAGCTGTGGGAGGGATCACGAAAAATCGGTCTCATTTGGCTGCACTGAAGAGAGTATTCAAGATTGTTTTAGAGATAGGGGTGGTAGAAGGGCGAGGGCGTGACGAAGATGGAGTAGTGTTGATGGAGGTAGTGTTATGGAGAGGTGGGCTATAAGGCTGTAAGGTATTAATAAGGGAGGATGGGGTGGTTGATGTTGGAGGTTGTGGGGGTAGAGGTGTTGAAGTTGGGCATGCTGGGAGAGTGGAAATGTTCCTTGAGGGTTGATTATTGGCTACTGTACTAGTAGGCATTGGTGAAGGGGTAGTTATTGCAGTGTTTGGAGCCGTGGTCAAAGGAGAGCCTGGGGTCGGGGAATCGGGTGGGTTTACTTCGTTGGGGCTATTTGATAAAGGGGCAAGCCTCATTGCCCCTAACAGTGGAGATATATTTTCATTACTGGCCATGGGAAGCCTGGATTATGTTGGGGATAAAAACAGTCCACCCCTCAGGGTCCCCTTGAGGGGTAAGGGCTAGATCTAAATCAGGGGAATACCGTGCCCATGGCTCCCTCAGGCCGTTCAGGACTGGCACAAAGTCAGCCTTTCATCCTTTCAGCACGGCTCTCACACCTTAGGAGGTGGATAGCAGAAGGGTTTGGTGAAGGGACAGAAACAAAAGTGGGAAGGGAAAAAAAGACCATGCATAATTAGTTGAGTCGAGGGCTGAGTCCCAAGGTTGGGGAGTTCCCCATCATTGGGTCCCAGTCTCCGCCTCCTAAGCCCCCCCACGACAACAACGGGCAAGGGATTGGGGGGGGGGGGGATGGGCCATACCTCCATCTGGTAGATTGCCACCGGAACCCCTTGTAGATGAAAAAATGGTTAATGGTTAATGGTTAATGGTTAAAAGCAAGATAAATGTGCTAGACATCTAAGGTCATGTAGCACTATAGTTAATGTTAGTGAAGGGTGGTTGAGTTAGTGATTAGTTGTCTAAGCTGGGCAAAGGAATTAGTGAGTGAAAGGGTTAAGGTCGGGTGTTATATTAGATAAAGGGTATGCATAAGAAAGGTTTCTTAGATGGGTTATAAGAGGAAAGGATATGATGGTCAGGTCTGTGGGAGCGGAAACCGCGAATATTCCAATGAAGGATAGTTATACTTTCGTTGATTTAGTGATATAGATTGTAGTACGTGTTGGAGAATTTGAAGGGGAAGTAGCTAGAGGGTGGGATAAGGACTGAGAGGTTTGAGATGGGAGAGGTGTGGGAGTTGGTGTTCTATCAGGAGGGGTATTAGGAGATGGAGGGTCTGAGGAAGGGGATACTTGTGACATAAGGGATTCACGTGTGTATCCAGGAGGGAGTGGAAGGGATAGAGGGGATGGTGGGAGGGTTAATGTGGGCAGGGTTGGGGTCAGGGGGAATGGGCTGTGTTGGGAGGGGGTAGGAGGGTAGGGTGTAGGGGTGATATCGTTAGGAGGAGGATGGATATCAGCAATTACTTGGAGTGTGGAAGGAGCAGGAGTTGTAGGTTGAGTGTCGGTTTTCATTAAGTAATCTTGAATATTTTCAATAGTTTCTTCTGTGGAGTTGGTTGGGGAGTTTTGGGGGATAAAGGATTTCTTGTGAGGGGGGGAAGAGAGGACTGGTGTCTCAAGAGTACGGGCAAAGGATGGTGGGGGTGATTGTGTGGTAGGGGAAGAGGGGGTGGAACGTTTGTTCTGTCTGTTACGGGGAGTGCGAGGAGGGAGAGGGGAAGGTGTTGGGGTTGTAGTGGTGATTGGAGTATCTGTAGTAGAGATTGGAGTTTCTGGATTTAGGATGGCAAAAGAGTTTGACTGGGGAAGGTAGGTGGGGTTAGTGGGGGGGGTTAGATGTAGGAGGGGTGGGTTTAGGAGAAGTGTTAGAATGAGCAGTATTACTGGAGTAAGGAGTAAGAGAGAATCCACGTCGACGTGCTTCCTGTCTGGCTTCACGCAGTGTGAGTCCGAGTTTGAATCTGAGAGTTGCTACCTCAGATTCAAATTTGTAGGTGGGACAGCCCCTATAAAATACATTATGGGGGCCGCCACAGTTGGCACATGTGCGTGATTGTGCAGAGCAGTTAGATCGGGTATGGCCAGGTTGGGCACATAATGGGCATCTGGCTGTGGAACGGCAGTGTTTGGCTGGGTGTCCTAGACGCCAACAATTTTGGCACTGACGTGGAGGAGGTTGGTATGGACGAACAGGGAGGGATTCTCCTCCTATGTAGACGTTAAAGGGAAGGTCATGTCTACGGAAGGTAATTTTGGCTATGTTAGTGGGTTTCTTTCGATGACCTCTGGGGGGGATGGAATAGCATTGTACTGATGTTGCATCGTAGTCTGTGAGACAGGCAAGTAGATCTCCACAATCTGACCATTCTTTGTCATAGATTGGGCAATTTGCTGGTGAGATTGAGACTGTTCCGGTGCAAGTATTGAGGGTTGGATGGGGTTCTGCTAGGATGGGGTTACCATATAGGTCAGTTAGTTTTGTTAGTGCTATGGCTTGGTTTTCGGATGTTACTGTTACAAGACGGGAGCGGTCGGGTCGGCTACGGAAAGAGACTTTACCTACTTGTTTTTGGAGGCATTGTTGGAAGAGAAGGGTGTTGTCAGAGTAGGGAGCTGTGGGAGGGATCACGAAAAATCGGTCCCATTTGGCTCCACTGAAGAGAGTATTCAAGATTGTTTTAGAGATAGGGGTGGTAGAAGGGCGAGGGCGTGACGAAGATGGAGTAGTGTTGATGGAGGTAGTGTTATGGAGAGGTGGGCTATAAGGCTGTAAGGTATTAATAAGGGAGGATGGGGTGGTTGATGTTGGAGGTTGTGGGGGTAGAGGTGTTGAAGTTGGGCATGCTGGGAGAGTGGAAATGTCCCTTGAGGGTTGATTGTTGGCTACTGTACTAGTAGGCATTGGTGAAGGGGTAGTTATTGCAGTGTTTGGAGCCGTGGTCAAAGGAGAGCCTGGGGTCGGGGAATCGGGTGGGTTTACTTCGTTGGGGCTATTTGATAGAGGGGCAAGCCTCATTGCCCCTAACAGTGGAGATATATTTTCATTACTGGCCATGGGAAGCCTGGATTATGTTGGGGATAAAAGCAGTCCACCCCTCAGGGTCCCCTTGAGGGGTAAGGGCTAGATAACTAAATCAGGGGAATACCGTGCCCATGGCTCCCTCAGGCCGTTCAGGACTGGCACAAAGTCAGCCTTTCATCCTTTCAGCACGGCTCTCACACCTTAGGAGGTGGATAGCAGAAGGGTTTGGTGAAGGGACAGAAACAAAAGTGGGAAGGGAAAAAAAGACCATGCATAATTAGTTGAGTCGAGGGCTGAGTCCCAAGGTTGGGGAGTTCCCCATCATTGGGTCCCAGTCTCCGCCTCCTAAGCCCCCCCACGACAACAACGGGCAAGGGATTGGGGGGGGGGGGATGGGCCATACCTCCATCTGGTAGATTGCCACCGGAACCCCTTGTAGATGAAAAAAGTGGATTTTCTTTTCTTGGTGTTTTCTTTTTCTTCCTAAATGAAGTTCTTTCTTATATTCAGGTAGAGAATGCATTCATGGACTAAAAAAAAAAATTTGTTCAAGGGACCCATTAACTACTTATACTGTTTCTTATATACACATCAAATTGCTAGGTTTTTACTGTGGGAATTAAATAGAGAAAAGAAAAAACTTTTTATTTCTTAACAAACTTACAATTTCTCTTACAAATGTCCATAAAAATGGCATTTTTACAATGTAGACAATAATGGATTTCAGTGACTTTAAAGCCTTTAATCACTGAATACATATACACTAAAATATAATGTATATAAAAAGGACTGAGGTAAACTCACAACTAAATAAAAAATGGAAATCAATATTTTTAATCTTTAAAGATGAACAAACAGATATCAAGAAACTGGAAATCAATCATTTCTTAATATTTAAAAACAAACTAAACATCATTATATGACAAGGACAGTAACATATTAATGTTGTATTTTTTGCACACTGTTTGAAATAAACAAATCAATGAAAAAGATTATTCAAAACATAACTGTAAGAACAAATGTGCTCAGTTATGAAACTAATACCAACTCTTACTACTATTGATAACAATAATAATAATAATAAATTATAATAATCATTTCAAAAATAACAAAGACCTTCACATTCACAAACATAACTGAAGTACTTGTATCAAAAGCGAATTTCATTATAAAATTGTAATGATGATTTTATAAAAGACCTTTGGAGAAAAAAAAGTGTTACAACTAAGGAGTAATTTCATTTGTCATTCTAGCATTTTTTCTTCATCTAACACAAGGGAAAAAAGGAAGAAAAAAAAAAAGGTTACAACTAAATGCTCATTTATAAACTTGTCTTATCACATCTTGTGTACTACATCTGACTCCATGCTTTCTACACCAATGTCTCTTCCCATTTTTAATCATCCGAATCAAAATCTTCTGAGCTCTCATCTCTCTGTAGGAAAAAATAGGGATAACAGAATAAGATTAATATTTTCTTTGAGTAGCTTCTCTGCTGTTTAATATTATTTCCAATGTTACAGATTGCTAATCCTGGTCAAACTGGGAGCAGGAAACATTAGGCTGCAAATCTTTGGTATCGCCATCCATTTCCTCAGGTACTTCTAAGCAGTTTCATACAAACGACTTAAATTCTACAAATTTTAAGGAGCTGAGAAAGGAAAGAAGAGAGACGAAATTCAACTGGTTACTTAAAAGAACGTCCACTAACCTGAACTGAAGGTTTCTGTGTAGGAGTCTTCCAGCTTGGTTTTACAATGTCACTTTCGTCTGAGCTGCTGTCTTCACTTGAATCTTCCTCTCTAACATTTAATCTAGAGTTTCCTTTAGCTGGGGTCTGTCTCTTTGGTGGACTTGCACGAACCTCAGAATGGTTACTCTGCTGTTGCCTCTGTTTTGGAGATTTCATGGTTTTTCTTTGCATAGTGGCAACTTCTTCATCTGAGCTGGATTCACTTGAGTCCGAAGTCTCTTGTCTTTTCACCTGGGGTTGATGCCAATTTTCTTTCATCTCATTATTACTTTCTTCTTCTTCCTCTTGATCAGAAGAAGAATCTGATGAACTGCTTTCAGCATTTTGGATTTCTTGTTCCACTTTCTTGGCTTTTGTTTTATTCTTGGCAACTGGCAGCTCATCTTCATCCGAATCTAGTGCTTCGTCTTTTATTGTCACACCATTTACAGTGCTTTTGAGTTTTTTCTTTGGGCTTGAAATATATACTGGATATACTTTATTTGGGTATTTCTCCTCAAAGATATCACGACAGAAGTAAGCTCTGACTTGTTTTCGGTAATGCCCCAAGTACATGACACGTTCAGCCTCTTCCAGATTTTCTACAAACTCCAACAAATTGCTCTTATATTCTTCCTGCAACTCCCTAGACCGATTCCTGTAAATCTGTTTGTGTTCTTCAGGTAATTTATTCCAGTAATCCTTACAGCTTTCTTTCCTCTCTTTCACATCTGAAAATTTGCCCTTCATTTTGTGTTCAAATTTGGCACTGAACAACAAAAATCCAGTACGAGGAGGCTTCTTAGGTAATTCACTGAATTTGGGAGCATTCATGGTGGTTACTTGCACATTTTCAAATTTATTCATGCTAGTTTTAACTTTCTGGGTTTTTTCTTTCTTTGCTTTCTTGGAGGTTTCCTGAAAGAAAGACAAATGGTAAGAAAACTTGCCA